GGGGGGGAGCCCCATAACAGGAGATGAAGTCTCACCACTCTCACTTGTAAGGAGCATTCTGGCTGTGCTGCTCTCAAGACAGATTTGTTTACTCCGCTGGCAGTCCCTGGTACTTTCATTATTCTTCACCACCACAATTCAAAAACCACCCCTTCTTTGATCTTCCTTAGCCACTGTCCAACGTTGACATGCACAAGAGGTCAATGAAACTACCATGGCTTGCTTGCTCTCCGGTGACCTTGGTCACCTTAGTCTTCAAAGTGACACCCTTGTGCTTCAACAGCTCCCAGAGGGGTCTTGTGCAGCAGCTTTGCCCAATGCAATAGCTGTTTGATTTCTTGACTGCTGCTCCCGGGAGCACTGATTGTGGATCCAAGTAAAATGAAATCCTGGACAATTCTTAACTGTTCTCTGGTCATCATGATGTTATTGGTCCAGTTGTGAGGACGTGGGTTTCTTTCCAGTGAGTTGCAGTCCTCGCTGAAGGCTGATCTTCATCATTAGGTGCCGGCAAGCCCTCTGGGCTTTCACTAGAAACGCGGTGTGTGCTGTATGTAGAAGGTTGTTCAGGGGGCTGCCTCCAATCCTGATGCCTCATTCTTTGTCACACAGTCACAACTAGACACCACTTACCTGCTCTTCATCCAACCCTTACTACAGCCCAGCTGTCATGGAAACCGTTTCACTCCCCGATGAATGTCTAATACTCAGCATGCAGTACACACTGGACACATAGCACTCCATCAATACATGTTAGTAAACTGAGGAAATTACTGAAATGTCCAGCAGACCAACACTTGGGCATATACACTCACGATGTCAGCTTTACAAATGAACAATGTTATACAATATGCAAAAAGCTCAGTTTGAGAACCAAGCCATGAACACCCTAAAGAAGTAACTTACATCCATCTTAACCTGCTCCTATCAGACTGCAAATGGCTGGCTCTACTCCTCCCAAGTAACGGCTCTACTTTCCAACAGAATCAGAGGCAATTCTGACGCTCAACATTTACTTACGTGCAGAGAATTGACTGGTCCTCACGATCTGAAAAAAACAAAACAAGAAAGTGACCATTAACCCGGTTCTGGCAGAGCTGATACAATCAAGTTACGGTAACCGTCTATGGAAATATCAAAGTTATTCCTCTTTTGCCACATTTACGCCTCCCCAATCCTACTATAAAAGCTTAACCCTAGTCATGTTCACGCAGTACAGCCTGCAGTTGTGCTAGATTTTCTAGTAAATGTGAACAACTCCAGCTTATTCCACACGACCTTTGCCTCTGCGGCTTGAAATACCTAGTCAGCCTTGATTCCCAAATCCCACTGCATATCTATGTCAATTGGGAAGTTTTATAAAGTTATTTCCTTGGGCCCAACCCTAGCTCAAGAAATCATTCTCTGGAGGGGTTGGGGATTATGAAGCTCTCTAAACGCTGTGTGAATCTGACACAAAGCCTCTGGCTTGGGGACCACTGCTTTTCAGAAACGGCTTCAGGAATAACCCCAAGCAGAGAATGGTAACTTTCCTGAAAGGAGCGCTGTGCCAAGGGAATGTAGTGAACCCTGGTAGGAAGCTGAACAAGGATAAAGAGGAGGTTTAACCACTGTCTCAAGTCCAAGTGTTATATGTACTCAAAATAACAGAACGCACAACAATAAAAAGCAAGCATGTTTTAAATAGTGGTTAATGACTTAAATATTCAGATAGATTTTTTTTCTCCTTAGAGAAAAGGTGAAATTCAAACCAACACCTGGCCCACAGACACCAGTGCCAATATATGGGCCCCAATCACTCATTAATCCTGTTTACAGATGGAAAGATATCCCTTGGGGAGGTCAGGTAACCTTCCCAATCACACAGGCAGCTGGAATGCGAGAATCACACGGGCCTGTGTCCACAGCCTGTGTTCTTACTGGTGCGAAACAAGCTCCCCGCTGCTTCAGAAGGGACTGTGGTCAGCATCGGGCGGTGGCCCCGTTCTCCTCCCCTCTGCTGTGCTTGTCTCATCTCCAGGGGATGCCCAGAGGCGCCCGGTGAGAATCTCATGATCGCTCAAACACCCACACCAAACCCACTGCCACCGAGGGGACACCACCTCATAGCAGCCCTGCAGCGCGACACAGAGCCGCTCCACTGGGCTCGGAGGCTGTGCTGGTTCTGGAAACAGGATGTCTCATCTTTCTCCGCAGGCAGGGTCAAAGTTGCCCGTCTGACCTGGTTGGTCAGCGGCCAGCCCAACATGTAACCCACTGCACCACCATGGTTTCTCCACGGCCAGGCACAGACCATCTCACCAGAGAGGGAAATGGTCCATTCACCGCGCCACACTCAGGATATAAAACGATTGGGATCAATGCATTTATATATTCTACACATAAACTGTTACATAAACAGCATATTACTGCTCTGCCCTTTGAGTCCAATCTAATTCTCAATAGTTCTTCATCAATGTCTTGCCCTCCCATCTGACTACCAAAGCTAACATTCACAGCGTGTGGTTGACGTCTGCCTCCATAATCATAGACAGGTGTGTTTCCTACACCCACACCTACTCAGGTATCTCTGACCTGTCCTCCACTCGCAACTCAGCATTTCCTCTAGGGACGTGGCGCCAGACACTCCCCAAAAGTCGGAGCCTCAATGCTCCCGGTTTTAACCATATTTTGGAAACAAACACTAACACTGTAACAGATTGCCCACTAGGAGGCACAGCTGAGGATCGGAGACTCATTACATTTTTCTATTCCCAACATTACCAATTAGCCTTAGTTAGCCATAGTGATGCTGCAGAGAGAGGTCCGCTGACTGGGGACAGAAGAATGTGGGGCAGAGGCGACAGGACGCCCAGAGAGGTGCCTCGAGAGAGTCCACACACCTTGAACCAAAACCTGAAACTTCCTCCCCTTTTAGCAAAGGAACAGACTGGCCCGTGAAACAAAGGATGCGAACAGTGAGAGCTTCGCACCTTTACAAACCATCTCGGAGCCTGTGCACAGGCCAACCACTACGCAGCTAGAGCAGAGATGCAGGGTGAGGGGGCGAGGGAAGTCAGGGCTGGAAAGGAAGCGCTGAGTCAAAGCCACAAGAATGGCAAATGCCTGACCACTGGACAATTTGTGTGCAGACTGATGGTTCAATGGGAATCTCATTTGCTGTGCCAACTTGCCCTGAAAACACAATCAAGTATCATATTAAAAAAAAAAAGGCCTGCTGAGAGGGGTGGTCCTGGACAGCATGCTGGGCGCAGCCGGTGGTGAGAAGAGGGCTCTCTTGTTCTAGTTTCAGCTCTGCCACAGACTGGCCATGTGTCCCAGGTGAGAGATGTGCTCCTTGCTGGTCTCAGGCCCTGCCCCTCTGAAACTGGGATTCTGCCAAGTCTTTGCTGATCCACTCTTCATGTGAACCCTCACACCCTGACTCTCCTGCTGCATGGAGCAATTTCTATTGAAATTTCCAAGCTGTGTTCGTAAGGCATTTTCAAACTGGCTGGTGCATGAAAGAAACCACAACATGAAAACCATAGCCCAAACTTAATCGTCTCCTAAGTCATTTCAGAGCGCCAAAGGCCACATTATACACTGTCTTCCTGCATCTGTGCGTATGCCATTGTCTGAAACCCTGGGCCTGCGTCGTCACAATCTGCCCTTCAAGCCTGCTCCACAACTCCAAGCACAAAACAGAAAATTCTCTTCCAGGCCTACCCATCTTCTCTTGCTGTCTGTCTGCCTGTCTGATGTACTAACTTTGTGCTGTGTCAGCACCATCAACACTTTCTCCAACTCCATGATTGATTATGCTCCTAGTCCGCCTTGGGCGTCACTAAATCTGATTCCTTTTCCAGGCCCGACCGTAGGCACTACAACTAGGTGCACTGGTTCGGCAGCTCAAACATTTAAAATGTAACTAGATATAACCCTTTAGTACTTTAAAAAAAAATCATTTTATTAGGGGCTCATACAACTCTTATCACAATCCATACATACATCAATTGTGTAAAGCGCATTTGTACATTC